AACACGAACTTTACCTCAACTACAGGAATGATGTATTGCTTGGCAAGTCGAGAAATTTAAACAAATGGTTAAATCCCGCATTGCGGCCACTCGGCCGAAAAGATAACGGCTGACTTATATTTCTGCAAGGGGAAGTGAATTTTTTCGATAATAAATATTTAAATAAACAAAATTTGATTTTGACCCAAAAAAAACGAGAATTGAAATCTTTAATGTGTTTCATTACGTAGTTACACTAATGGATTGAGTGACTGCAGAGGAAAAACCGGCATGCTTTTTCATTTTATGACCCAATTAAGCTCGTAAAAACACGAAAGAGAAGCTTTCATCCACATTTTCACTAAAAACAACAAGAGTGGAGTTCCAATTAAGGTGAATCACGAAAAATACTTGATTGGTTGGGTTTTATCTGCGATTTGTGTTCCTAATAATAGAAATTTGATCTGTTTCATTGAATTTAAAAAAAAAAAAAAGATTTTTTTGCCAGGTTTTCTCTCAAGTACCATTGTTTGTATTTTTGCAACATACTTATTTTTTCTGATATTCTCTCAGGCAGTCTGTAATGGGCGCAATTTTCATGAAACACGCGAGCTAAGCCGCAGGCAGGAGTAAATACAATAATGATACACCGAACTAAGTATCCATTATTTTGGTCATTTTTCCGCATTGTCTTTTGTATTATTCAACTCTCTCGTTCCTCAATATTCCCAACATTGTCAATTAAACGTTTCAACATGATTACTTCGACAATACGGTCACGGTGACCGGTCTTCCGCCATTATTACCGAATGACCTCCCCAAATCACATCGGGTGCGATAATTAACAGCACGCTCACCGACATAGAAATTAGTTCTGCTACGATAACATCTAGCTTTTGTAAGAGCCGTGACCTTTTTTTCCTATCGCTGGCTATACCTTTATGCAATAAATATGTGAAAAATCAGATAAAAATAAAATATGGTTAAGTCAATCGATCCGTTTCTTGTCCCCCATGTCCAGACGTCGCTTTTCAATATTGATCGTGGCAGATTTTAAAGTCTGAATGGGGGTTGATGAACGTCCGGAACGAAGGTTAACGAACACCCTGTATATTATCTCATCGTAGACGGAAGCGTCGCACATCGACCATGACAGTGAAGATGCTTCCGCAACATCTTTTTCTTAATTAAACGCTCCCGTGGATGTCGAAATTGTCCAAGGAATTAAAAATGTTGTCGACGGTTGATGAAAAATTCCACAATGATGGAGGTTTTTTCCATAAATATTGCGCTGAAGCCAAGAAAAATCGACGATTTTAGTAAATGGCTCGTTAAAATACTGTATTTATAAACCTAAAGGTAGTTTATTTTTCATTTAATTGATGAAGGGACTAAAATAGAGTTTGGTCATTTTTGTACTCTTCATTGTTTATCATGTTCCAGCATTTTAGTACACCCCCTGTACAACAATGCCACTTTTTTAATAAATGATTGGCTAGTTGATTGTGTGCAAATAAATATAAACTTTTTTTTAAATCGTGCTTTTAATTAATTTAGTCGTTGACCTGTTTCTTGTAATCAAACTCATCTTCAAGGCTATAATTTTATTTTATTGTTCGAGACTTATTTCGAATTTTGAATTTAATTAACAATACCTGTGACACTGCAATTTAATTGGCTACAATGAGTAATGTAGAGTGAAAATAAGATATGAAAATTAAGTTTAAGGGGCGTTAACTTGAACAAAGTGAGTACAATTAATTCCAATTCCAAAAAAAAAATCCACCGAAACACTTGCAATTTCGAGAAAAATTCACCAAAATTCCAGTAATCTTAAAATCCATCGTAATTTCATTGTTTTTAGATTAATTCTTATAATTACAGTAATTACAACTTAATTTTCGTAATTCTAAAATAATTCCTGTAATGCCAAACTAATTCCGATAGTTCTAAGAAATTCAAAATAATTCCAAAAAGGATTCCGGAATTCCAAAACGAATTCTAGTAATTCCACAAAAATTTCAGTAATTCTCAAATAATTTCCGGTAATTCTAACTTAATTTTTGTAATTCAAAAATAATTCAACGTAATTTTTAAAAAGAATTATCACGTTCAAAAAATTATTTATACTAAAAATTTGTACAACCAATTTCAGAGTTAACAGTCTTACATATCTCCTGTTTTTACATTATCTAATGTTGCCAACTTAATTTTAAAGTGATAAGCTACTTGAAGGTGTAGTATTTATTTTTATTTATATTTTAACCAATTCTGATAATTATTGTAATAATGATAATTGTGTTTTTTTTTTAATAAAATAGAATTTTATTTTATAAAAACAAATATAAATATATTTCATTCTCGAGCTATAGTAATATTGAAATCGGGGTTTAATATTTTTGTAATGCTCTTAAATCTGTACTTTTTTTGTTTTATTTGTGTATCTGAAAGCTGGAAAACAAATAAACCAGCACCCGAATTTTGAAATAATGTTCTATAAAATTTTACTAGTTATCTTCATTTATTGAAGCAGTGAGTTTACAACATACGCAGTCCGCAAACTGATAAGATAAGGGTGTATTTACACTCCGCGTATTATATTGACGGAAATCGCCTGTTTTCTGTTTATGTCATCGAAAGTTCAAGATTACGAACTTTCATTTAAAAGTCGAGTCAGTCATCGTTGTGATTCATAACGTAATAGGTGTGTATTGTGGTGTCATTTGTTTAAAAAAAATACAAACACAATGATCGAAACTGTTTCACGATCTATTTATTACACCGCAATAGGAGAAAAATATGACAGTTGCATCCACGATTAATTAATATTGTGTAAAGTCAAAAGCGCGAAATTGCGTGTTAATTAACGAAATTCGCTGTTCGGTAAGTTCTTCCGAGTTAACCTTGAATGTATACAATATACATTCGGTCACTTACCCCGAGTTTCTATTTACCCCGACGGTCCCTACATGTTTTGCAACAACACTGGTGAATTTCTCCATGGAAGGGAAAGAGATAAAAAAGGTGAAAGTTGTACTTAGATGACGAAAAATCGATTGATTAAAAGGAAAGTCAAGAGCGATTTTCATGTTACGTTGCGGTTTGTTTAGTAAATTAAACATAATAAATAAATGTTCATTTGTTGTCGACAACCTAAAATTCAATTGGAGTAGACGTTATCTTTTTTATGCCAAAAATAAAATATTTATTACACGATTACTCTTGTTTATGCCGCAATAAAAAGACAGCATAACAGTTTTAATATGAATTAATATAAGACATTTCGAATAAATGTCGTGACTCCGATTTATTTTTACACGTATTTATTATCGTGTTCCAGTTTCAATTAATTAAAGATTTAGAAAAGCAGGAATAAATAATATTTAATTTCCGTGAAAAAATATTCAACAAAGTTCTGTGGATCTAGTTACGGGTCTGTAGCTGTAGATCTAAATCTGTATCTGTAAATCTGTCTACAGACCTGTATCTGTAGATGTATCTACGGACCTGAACCGGAGATCTATCTATAAATCTACAACACACTTGTAACTGTAGATCTAACTAAATTTCTGTATATGCAGATCTATCTACAGACTTGTAACTATAGATCTATCGACAGACCTGTATCTGTAGACCAATCTATAGATGTATCTACGGACCTGTAACCGGAGATCTATCTGTAAATCTACCTACAGACCCGTAACTGTAGATTTATCTAAATTACTGTATATGTAGATCTATCTACAGACTTGTAACTGTAGACTTATCGACAGATCTGTATCTGTAAATATGTTTTCAAACCAGTATCTGTAGATCGATCTACAGATGTATCTACGGACCTGTAACCGAGATCTGTCTGTAAATCTATCTACAGACCTTTAGCTGTAGATTTATCTTCATACCGGGAACTGTAGATCTATCTACAGTGCTGTATCTGTATATCTATCTACAGACTTGTAACTGTAGAGCTATCTGTAAATCTTACAGATCTGTATCTGTATACAGCCGAATCTCATCAAAAGACGTGTGTGTTTGAGTCCTCGGAGCAATGACATATTTAATTGCCCTCTCGCTTGTAATATACTATTTCTGTATATTTATAAGATATCTAAAATATCAGAGGATTTTTTCAAGGGTATCGTTTCTTTTAATATTTTTGCTTTTGTCATTTTGTGTTTATTACATCCTTATACTGCTTCAGCCTTGAATATGCTTTTTTGCTTGCGAAAATTTCACGCATTAATAAATTACACGTAATAATTGTCTCACTATTTGATTTATTTTGTGTCTAATCGTAGGAAATTCTGTTCGTTGATTTTCCACATGCTTGCGTCTCATCCTGAAACTTTTCGTTTTATTTTTTGCCATTTTCCTTGACTGTTTGAACTAAAATTAACTAGCTTTGTAGTCACAATTCGGTGCCGCCAGAATAGATATTTCAGTCTCTAATCGACGTGGAAGCATGCGAAATTCCCCAATTCCGAGAAGTCACCTCCCTGTCTTTACCTGTTCCCATTGTCGTCGGGTCCACGTGGTGAAAAACGCAAAATCATCGACGAGTTTCTTCGCAATTGAACAATTCGTAGATTGTGGTGTTCGTCGCTCATTCTCTGTTGCGATAACGCTTTTCACGGGCATTGAACGGACAATCGGTCATCATCCATACACTCGCACAGTTGCTTTTGTCGGTATTTTATATTTTTTGAAAGTTTTAGTAGAGAAAATTTCTAATTTTGAGGGTTGGCTGGTTCTTCGTTTGTGAGCGTAAAACGAGCAAACAGTCTCCTTCAAACATGGAAACAGTGAAGTGGACTCTGTGTAAACAGTGTCTATGAATTCGTTTGTTTAATGAAATAATCGTACCTGGTTGTTTGTCGAAGACATCGACGACGATCCACCGGTTTGTTCACGGGCACGACTTACGTTACTCTCATTGTCACGACGTGTTTCTAAGCGAGAGAACACGGAAATTTTCTTGGTTTGGTGTATAATAATTGAAGGTTTTTTTCTTGTTGTTACAGGGGTTCTGGACATGACTGCCACGGAGAATACAATCCGTTTCAGTGTCCACACCCTGGACAAAGCCACCAAAGCTAAAGTCACCTTAGAAAATTACTACACAAATCTCATAGCTCAACATGTGGAGCGAAAACAAAGGTAAGGGGTCAAAGTGAATGAAATAGTTGTTAGGTAACTCAAAATAAGCCATATTTTTACATATTTCAAGGAATCAAAACGTATAATGTATACTTCAGTACTAAAGTAATTTTTTTACATAAGGTTATGTAATAATAAATAATATTAATTATGTTATATAAACTACTATTCTGCTATTTGACATTGATTACCTACATGAACTCATTCAATTTTGTTTTTTTCCTAATCTTTCTTTTTTTTTCTTTCTTTATTTTTTCAATTTTTCCATTCTTATCTTTTTTTTAAAGCAATTTCATCAGTAGTTTTTATTGTCAATGATGTTTTTAAGAAGCATTTCTATTTTTGTTTTTTTTTCTTTGTCAAAGTACTAAGAATTTTTGTTGTTTTTAAAGATCTACAAATGCTTTTTTTATTTTAGAGTTCATTCTTATTCAAGTTTTGGTGTTTTCCTTCTTTTATTTTTTTACGTACATTTTTTTTACTTTTTCCACTTTAATTTTTTTTTTGACAACAATTTCAACAGCTTTTGTTCTTTATTTTCTTTTCTTGTAGCTCTTCTTCCAGCCGAATTCAGTCTTCATGCTTTAGAATTTTTCCTTTTTTAGTTTTGTTTTTTTTTCTTTTAATAAGCTTTCTTTCTAATTTTTAGTCTAATCTTTTCTTTCTCTTTTTTTTCTACGTCTTTAACTTTTTCTTTTTTATTTTCTTAAGCATTTTGATCAGCTTTGTTTTTCAGATTTGATTTTCTTTTTTAATGATCTTTTTAATTTTTTAGTCAAATCTTTTTTTACGTCTTTTCTATTTTCATTATTTTCTACTTTGTTATTTTTAACTGTTTTTTAAAGCAGTTTCATCAGTAGCTTTTATTGTCAATTCTTTCTGGTGTTTTTAAGATGCATGTTTATATTTGTGTTTTTTTTCTTAGACAAATCAAGATCTAAAAATTTTGGGTTTTTAGAGATTTACAAATACTTTTTTTGTTGTAGAGTTTTTTTCTTATTTCATTTTTGGTCTTTTTTTCACTTTTTGTAGTTTATTTTCACCTACATTGTTTCAACTTTTTACACTTAATTTTTTTTTTAAGAACAATTTCAACAGCTTTGTTCTTTTTCTTTTAACCTTTGTAATTTTTTAGTCGAATCTTTATTTTACGTCTTTTTCTACCTCGATTTTTTAACTTTCTTTGTTTTTATCTTTTTTCTTCAAGCAATTTTGATCATTAGCCTTTATTGTGGATTCAGAAACCTTAATACATATTTATGAATTTTGATCTTTCTTCCTGATGTTTTGAAGAAGCATTTTTCTTTTTTTTTTCTTTTCTTAGTCAAAGTACTAAAATTTTTTGTTGTTTTTAGAAATTTACAAATGCTTTTTTTTGGTTTTAGAGTTCATTCTTTTTCTTATTCAATTTTTGGTGTTTTCTTTCTTATATTTTTTTTCACTTATATTTTTTCAACGTTTTTCCCTTTAATTTTTTGTTTGTTAACAATTTCAATAGCTTTGTTCTTTTTCTTTTCTTGTAGCTCTTCTTCCATGGAATCCAGTTCCCATGGTTTAGAATTTTTTTCTTAGTTTTGATTTTCTCTTTTAAGAACCTTTATTTCTAATTTTTTAGTCAAATCTTTTCTTTTACGTTTTTTTCCACCTAGATTTTTTCAACTTTCTTCGTTTTTTTTTTTTTTTCTTAAATCAAATTGATCATTAGCCTTTATTGTCGATTCAGAAACCTTAATGTTTAGGAATTTTGAACTTTCTTCCTGATGTTTTTGAAGAAGCATTTTTTTTTGTTTTTTTTTTGTTCAAAGTACTAAAAACTTTTGTTGTTTTTAGAGATTCACAAATACTTTAATTTTATTCTTGTTTTAAAGTTTATTTTTTATCTTATTTAATTTTGGTGTTCTTTTTTTTAACAACTTTTTTTCTCTTTTTTTAGTCATCTTTATTTATTTCTTCTTGCGGTGAAGTGTATACGCGGTTTACGAACAATTTTTTTAATTTTTTTTATGTTAGCATCGCCAGACTGTAAGACTGTACATATTTTAAAAAAATTACAATAGTTTTTAATTTTTTAAAGAATTTAGATCGTTTTTTTTCTTATGTTCAAAGAAATTTGCGGTAATCATTTTTATCTTTTTTTTTTAAACAATTTCATTAGTAGCTTTTATCGTTGATTCAGAAACTTTGACATTTGAATTTTGAGCTTTCATTCTTTCATTCCGATGTTGTTCTTTTTTTTGGTCAAAGAACTAAAAACTTTTATGTTGTTTTCTAAAAGCAAAATCTCTAAGATTTACAAATACTTTTATTGTTTTTTGTTTTCATTCTTTTTCTTATTCAATTTTGGTGTTTTCTTTTAACAACCTCACTCACATTCTCTTCATTTCTTCTCTTTTTTTTACAAAAATCGCAATTAACAGTTGAAATTATGTTTTTTACTTATTTTGAAAGAAATTAATAATAGCAGCACTTTTCTTGAATTTTTTCAGGTTAGCGAAACTGGAAGAATCTTTGAAAGACGACAGCCTCTCCGAAGAGCAGAAGCATGAGAAGCGCCTCCAGCACGCCCAGAAAGAGACCGAATTCCTTCGACTGAAGCGATCGCGTCTCGGTGTCGAAGACTTCGAACCTTTGAAAGTAATAGGTCGGGGGGCTTTCGGCGAGGTCCGCCTAGTCCAGAAAAAGGACACTGGTCATGTGTACGCCATGAAAATCCTTCGAAAAGCCGACATGCTTGAAAAGGAGCAAGTGGCACATGTGCGAGCCGAACGCGATATCCTCGTCGAAGCCGACCACCAATGGGTGGTTAAAATGTATTATAGTTTTCAAGATCCCATCAATTTGTATCTGATAATGGAGTTTTTACCGGGTGGGGATATGATGACGCTGTTAATGAAGAAAGACACGTTATCGGAGGAATTTACGCAGTTTTATATCGCCGAAACGGCACTAGCTATAGATTCGATACATAAGCTCGGATTTATCCATAGGGATATCAAACCGGATAATTTGCTATTGGATGCGAAAGGGCATTTGAAATTGTCCGATTTCGGGCTGTGTACGGGACTGAAGAAGTCGCACAGGACGGATTTTTATAGGGATTTGAGTCAAGCCAAGCCGTCGGATTTTAGTAAGTATTCAAGTAGTCAATGTCAATCGATACTTTTGAAAACATTGTGCTACAAAAGACAGTTGAGGAAACTAAGAAAGTGTCAGATTAGTCCAGTCAAATTAGTCATAAGTGGCCAAATAACGAAAATTTTGACAGAGCTAAATTTTGGTGAGGACCTGAGGTACACCATTAGAAATAAAGTGTCAAAAGTCCTCATCGATCCCATGTGTGCTAAAAAAGTTATTCTGTGTCAAAGGTCAAAATTAGAATTTCTTTTGATTTTTTTCGAAAACGGTAAGTTTTATCAATAAAGTAGTCCAGACAAAAATTATAAATCTTAAAATTATCTACGAAAATGGTCCTTATACTTTTTTTTCTAAGAATCACCATTCCTAAGATAACGCGATTCTAAAACTTGAAGGAGTAACGTTCTACATGCACATACAGAGTGCGCCAAAACTCGCACCCCAACCAGAAACATAGAAAAAATTTAAAAAAAATCTATCTATAAAAATTTCAATGTTATGAAATTTTCAAGTATAAGGATGCACCAGAAAAGTTAAAAAAATTCTATCTATAAAGAATTCTAAGTTATGAGAGTTTAAATTTTGCACTTTCACTCTATTTATTTCTGTTGGAAAAGTAATTTTCCAAGTTTTTTTGCTATAGGCTATTAAAAGTGGAAACAAGGAAGCTATATCCTAAATTGTAAACTCTGTTCAATGTTATGTATTTGTGGCTTTTATGACAAAATTTTTGTACCTTTACTAAATAATTATAAAAAAACATATACAAGGTCATCAGTATTATTAAATAGACATAAAAAAATGTCAAATGTCAAACAATAAATGTCAAAATTTTTCGACAGATAGAATTTTTGAAATATTTTTTCAGTGCTCTGGGGACTACCCAATTACGCCCTTTCAAGGAAGTGCGCGATTTTTTGAACTTCCTGTATGTATTACCAAATAAATTCTTTTTAATTCTAATGGAATCGAGATATTTATAAGTTTAATGAAGTTGAAGAAAAATTTCAAGTAAGATAAGATACCAGGAACATGGAAAAAAAATGTTTAAAAAATTCTATCTATAAAATTAACTAAAAACTAATTCTATCTGTCAAAAAATTTTGACATTTATTTTTTTGACATTTAACATTTTTTATGTCTATTTAATGATACTGATGATTTGACAAAACTTTTGGCAATAAAAGCCACAAATAACATTAAACAGCTTCCTTGTTTCCGCTTCTAATAGCCTGTAGCAAAAAAACTTGGAAAATTATTTCTCCTATAGAAATAAATAGAGTTAAAGTGCAAAATTTAAACTCTCATTACTTTGAAATTTTCTTAGATAGATTTTTTTTTTAATTTTTTCCACGTTTGTGGTACTTTACCCTACATGGCATTTGTCTTTGGAGCGGAGTTCTGGTGCACTCTGGATGTGCATATCATGTAGAACGTGACTCCTTCAACTTTTAGAATCGCGATATCTCAGGAATGGTGATTCGTAGAGAAAAAGTATAAGGGCCATTTTTGTAGATAATTTTAAGATCTATAATTTTTGTCTGGGCTACTTTTTTAATAAAACTTACCGTTTTCGAAAAAAATCTAAAAAAACATCATTTTTTGACCTTTGACCCCGAATAACTTTTTTAGCACACATGGGATCGATGGAGACTTTTACACTTTATTCCTAATGATGTACCCAAGATCTCCACCAAAATTTAGCTCTGTCGCAATTTTAGTTATTTGAAATGTCTATTTTGACCGGACTAGATGTACTGGATTATAAAATTTCTAGACTTGCAAAAAAACATTTAAAAATTTCTTAAAGAAATGTTTAAATTTAAAAAATGTCATTTAAAACATCGTGTTGCAAAAGATAGTGGGGAAGACTAAGGAAGTGTCTAGAAATACGGTTTAAACAATATCTAGATTTGCAAAAAAACATTTAAAAATTCCTTAAAGAAATGCTTAAATGTAAAAAATGTCAATCGAGACTTTTTTAAAACATCGTGTTGCAAAAGACAGTGGGGGAGACCAAGAAAATAAAAAAATTATAGACTTGCAAAAAACATTTGAATTTTTTTTAAGAAATGCTTGAATTTAAGAAAATGTTAATCGTAACTTTTTTAAAACATCGTATTGCAATTTAAGAAAAAGTTTCTAGTTTAGAGTGTTTTTTCAGTAATTACGTCTAGTCCGATGGATAGTAAGCGTCGCGCTGAAAGTTGGAAGAAAAACCGAAGAGCGTTGGCATACAGCACTGTTGGTACTCCTGACTATATAGCCCCCGAAGTGTTCCTCCAAACCGGCTACGGACCGGCATGTGACTGGTGGTCATTAGGCGTCATCATGTACGAAATGTTGATTGGTTATCCACCATTCTGTTCCGAAAATCCTCAAGACACTTATCGCAAAGTGATGAACTGGAGAGAGACTCTTGTTTTTCCCGCCGAAGTTCCGATCTCTGAAGAGGCCAAAGATACTATTATTAAGTGAGTTGAGTGTTTTTTTTTTTTTTTAATCAAGTTTAATCTATTTGTTTTAAGGTTTTGCTGTGAAGCTGAACGAAGGTTGGGCTCACAGAAGGGTATAGAAGATTTGAAAATTATTCCCTTCTTTCGGGGAGTTGATTGGGAGCACATAAGGGAAAGGCCGGCCGCGATACCTGTAGAAGTTAAGTCCATAGATGATACGTCGAATTTCGACGATTTCCCAGACGTCAAGCTTGAAATTCGTAAGTGGTGCCAAAATAGTATATTATTTAAAGAGTGAGAAAAATAGCTACTCGCCTTCGGCTCGTATCGTAATGGCCATTTCTCAGGAGTTTAATACTTTTTCTAGTCTCTTAAATAATGACTGATATTTTATTTGTATCCAGGGTGACTCAGGGGTGCGTGCAAGTTTTATCCAAGCTATCGACTTAATTTTTTTTAACGATAGGTTCCATAATGAAGCACATTTAAAAAATATTTTTATTTAATACAGGATGTCTCAAAATAAGATACACAATTATGTTCTATTTTTTTAAATGGAAACCCCTAATTTTTTTACATTTTTGAATTTGCCACTAAATTCTCGATATTTCGCACCCAGTTTTTTTAGAATTATTTGCAATAGTTTTTGTCTTTTGAAAAAATTTGTGAGATTTCTGCAAAATGAGAAATGTTGATGTTTTTTTTTTTTTTTGAAAAAAAAGCATCTAGTAAGTACAATTCTGAAAAGAATATGTTTCAACAAAATGAAATTTTGCGTCCTACTAGATTTCTTTTTTTCGGAAAAAAACAACATTTGTTATTTTGCAAAAATCTCACAATTTTACAAAGTAGATCACACAAACTCTATATTGGCAAAAAGCTTATAAATAATGCCATGCATGTGATAAAATATAGGGTGTTGTATTTGAAAAAGTCGAGTTATTGCCATTTGTAATTTGTCATTTCAAAAAATTATAGTAAGCGATGGGACATTGACCCTAAATTCCCCTTTATCTCAAAATATGCACTAAAGTTTAAGGAATCGACTGGAGAAAAGTTGGTTAACTTATCTTGAATGGTTCTGAAGTTATGAATTTTTCTGTGGGTCTATGCACGACGCTATTTTGACACATAAATTGACATAAGTCAAAAACTATTACAGATAAGTTTAAGAAACAGGATGAGTTATATCGACAATCTAGTGGCGAATTAAAAAATGTAACAAAAATTGGGGGTTTTTATTTGAAAAATGAGGACTCAATTGTGTATCTTATTTTGGGACACCTGTATTAAAAAAAATATTTTTAAAATGTGTTTCATTATCGGACCTACGATTTAAAAAAAAAATCAAGACGATAACTTGGATAGAAAAAAAGTTATAGAACTTGCACGCATCCCTGGATCACCCTGTATTTTCTTTTTTTGTCAACATACACATTAAACTTTTTTTTTTTTCAATTTTTTTACAAGTACGGAGAAAACTGAACTCTTTCTTCATGAACCACTTTCTCAACTGAAAACGTATGAGAAAAGTACACATTCTTTAAAATGATTAGAAAAACTAAATTGTGCTCATATTTGCCCAAAGGAGACCAGAACAATGGACAATAATACAAAAAGTATCAAAAAAATTGTAAAACATGAATGGAAACATTACTAAAATAGCCACAGGCTAAACTCAGAGGGAATTCAAAAAAATTGAGAATATTTTCAAAACTTTGATCTTGCGCTTTAATTATCAAAAATCACAGTTTTTATGCAATTAGCATTAGAAAATAGCTTGAGATAAATTAAACGTCTCATTTTTGATATTTTTTTTTAAGACTTGTTCCAGAATAAACCTTCACTAAATGTTAAATTTGTTTAAGTGAAAATTTTAGTAAGAGCCGATTTGTTTTCAGCTTCTGCGCCCATGCCTCAGGACGGTGAGGTGATCTACAAAGACTGGGTGTTCATCAACTACACGTTCAAGAGGTTTGAAGGTTTGACGCAAAGGGGGACCCCAACTAAGAAATAGATGGCACTTGGTGTAACAAACCGGCAGTTAATCGCGCTATAAACGAGCACTTATTTTTAGGAAATATCGTGAAAAGTCACACTTTGAGTGCTTCGATATGATTTTTGAACTGTACCTTTCCAGTAGTTATTTTCTAAAAATGAGTAATTTTTGTGTATTATAGGTCTGAAGCAGTTTTGACACTGTTTGCTTTGAGCTGTGAGAAGCTATGTATCTTTTGTTGTATTTACACTGATATGTGTTCTTATCGGTAAATGTGAGGACTTGTGTTTATTGTAAATATTACGAAAATGACGAATTGTTAGTACAAAATTGTTGCGAAACTACTGCCAATTATTTATGTGATGTTGTTTTGGATGATGCAGAGGGTGGTTTGTGGGATATTTTTGTACCTAATGATTTTGTGTGTATCATTTTAAATACAACAGAAGATTTTTGTGTATATGTTATTTTTTGTTTATTGTTACAAAGTGATACTTTTATTATTTACTTGTTTTTTTATTTATAGACAATGTAATTCTTGATCGACGTCAAGAACTATTTTGTATAACTCGTGAAGGACATGAAATTACACTTTTTACACCCTTCATGATTCTGTCAGTGAGATCATATATTTTGCAATTTTATTTCAAGACAAACGACTGTAGTATTAGTGTGCGGGTTTGTATCGATTAGTCACATTTTATTAGTATGTAACGATTTGTTTTTTTCCCAAAAAGCACGTAATATGAACAATTATTTTTCAGAAAATTTTAGTGTTAACCGATTAGATTTTGTGGAAGTGTATGTGTAGTTTTGCTAAACATATCGATCAGTTATGGCTGTCAAACAGTCTGGATGTGTATGTGAAGCAGTTGGTAGACATGGAAATTTTATAGAAAACAATTAATGTTAAGCTTGTAGCTCTCTACAGACGCACCTTTTTTTCAAATTCATTCAACTTGGTGCAAATTAGCTAGATTATTATTTATCCTCTAATTTGTTATTTATTACGATTGTATTTTATAATTGGTCTCGCTAACAGGACTTGTACATATATTTACTTCCAAAAATGTGTATAACAAAGTTTATTAAACTCTGTGCTTTAATTGGTGTTTGAATTTCCCGCGTCTAGTCGCTTAATTTGTATTTGAATTTCCCGCCTAAGGCATTACTTAAGTGCGTAGAGGGCGCTCCAGTCGCTCGAAAAAAAATGGCCGTGCGACAAAAATATTAGTGACATAATTGTGCTCCTTTAATTACACAAAAAATCCTTATCTTATCAAGGTAATGCGGTTAATTACTTCCGGATAAGTGACTTCACTCACCTCAAGTAAATAAATATAAACTCGCGCGTTTTTTATATCAAAAAAGTGAACGCCCTGTTGTTATTTTTGTCCCAGTTTTGCGAAAAGACACGAAATGGAGGATATTTTCCAGTGGTGTAGGGACGGAAATGCCCTCCAGGTGAGGGTATGGCTCGACGACACCGAACACGACATGAATCAGGGGTGAGTTTGTTATTTTGAGGTTACTTTAATGGCATTTCCTAATTTGGTCAGTGCTGCGATTATTGTGTAATAATTTGGTGAATGGCGAGGTTGAGTGTGGGTTTTCTGTGTTAGGGATGACCATGGGTTCAGTCCTCTCCACTGGGCGGCTAAAAGGGGGCACACGAAAATCGTGGAGATGCTCCTGCTTCGGGGGGCGCGGGTCAACGCCACCAACAGGGGGGACGACACYCCCCTGCATCTGGCAGCTGCCCACGGACATCGAGAGATTGTCCTAATGGTGTGTGTTTTTTTTCTTTTTTGTGTTTTACACAGTCAAATTATTCCAGTTGTTGCGCCAAAGAGCCGACGTGAATTTCACAAACGAGCACGGCAACACCCCATTGCACTACGCGTGTTTTTGGGGCTATCGCGAAATCGCCGAAGACTTGGTCCACCACGACGCCAAAGTTTCCATTGCGAACAAATACGGCGACACTCCATTGGACAAAGCGAGAGGCAACTTGGCGAAAGTCCTCCACGACATGGCCGTGGAGGCCGGCCAAGACCTCAAAAAAATCATCTTCAAGGACCAAAGTTGGCTAGGCCTCAAAACACGGTCACGTGACGCCACTCTATCCCGCCATAAAGGCATCAACATTAAAGAGTTGCACCGTCGCGAGGAAATTGCTTCAACCCCCAGTGGCGTAACATACAGAGGGACGTGGCAGAAAAACGATGTTGTTGCCAAAGTGCTCAACATACGTGAGGTGACTTCGCGAATCTCCCGCGATTTTAATGAGGAATTTCCCAAGTTGAGGATTTTTTCGCATCCGAATATCCTTCCGGTGATTGGCTGTTGTAACAGTCCGCCATATTTGATCGTAATCAGTCAGTATATGCCACTAGGGTCGCTCTATAATGTTTTGCATGAAAGCAGTGGGATTGTCGTTGATAACGCACAAGCCTTGCGATTCGCTGTTGATATAGCGAGAGGAATGGCCTATTTGCACAGTCTTGAACGGATAATCCCCGAATATCGCTTGAATAGCCGTCACGTGATTATTGAAGATGATTTGACAGCTCGAATCAACATGGCCGATGCGAAATTCTCGTTTCAGGAGAAGGGGAGGATCTACCATCCGGCGTGGATGTCCCCGGAGGCTTTGCAGAAGAAGATCACTGATCGGAATTGGGAAGCGTCGGATATGTGGAGTTTTGCGATCTTGTTATGGGAGTTGGCTACAAGGGAAGTACCATTTGCGGATTTGAATCCTATGGAAGCGGGAATGAAGATTGCTTTGGAAGGACTAAGGATTACGATAAAGCCGGGAATTTCGTCGCATTTGTCCAAATTGATTAAGATCTGCATGAATGAGGATCCTGGAAAAAGGCCCAAATTTGATATGATTGTGCCGATTTTGGATAAGATGCAACGTTGAAAAGGGTGGATTCTAAAACTACTAAAATGGCTATAATGTGCCTTGGATATTGCCTTGATTAATTGTGTTCTTTCTATGTATTTAATGTGTATGTTCTTTAATGTTTTTTTAGATGTGCTATACATAATTTTTTAATGTATTTATTAATAACTATGACATGTTAATACTTGTAGGATATATTTTAATAAAAAATTGTAACTGTTGGTCAAGAGTTTTTTTTTTTTGGGGGGGGGCGAGAGGAAAAAGCGACTAAAAATAAGGAAAGGGTTTAATCCGTAATAATATACAATTTAATCAAATTAAACAATCTCTCATAACAAAATGCTAAATATTGACATATCAAAATAGCATAATAATAATAACATGAAACTTCTACCATTTAGATTAAAATAAAGATTTAGTGCATAAACAATACCTTATTACATATAAACTTTAATAGAATAAACAAGAGTAATAACAACGATTTCAACATTCATAGGTAAAGGTTTTCAAATATGAGCACATATTTAATCATAAATACTAAAACACATCAATAAATGCGTGTGGTGTGTATGAATTATGCACATTGAAAAATCCTTAAATATAATTTGCAAATAAATTAATTGAGATGGCATGATAAAATGGATAAGGCAGTGGAAAATTGATAAAACACCGATAAATAATAGAATACTCTCTAACAATATAAAATGTACTATGTACAGATTAAGTATTAAAATTAGGTACATTTAATTGTCTTTTGTCATGTCATTTAAGAAGTAAATTATAGCCTCACATATTATATACATTTAAAAATTAATAAATGAGTCACTAACCGCAAATGTGTTTTAAGTACGACAATACTTCAGTCGGATGTTTAAAAAAAAAACAAATTGAACCGCATTTGAGGTAAGACATTTCAGTAAATTTAGTAAACATCTAAAAAACGCAAAACATCGTCATCGTTTTGTACTCTAATAGATATATAAATAACAACACCCTAATTTAATTAGGTACAACTAGGGTTAGTGATATACCGCGATATGATTGTTACTTCACTTGATAAGCATAGTAGATGGCTACTATTATCGACATTAGTTTATTAAAGATACATGACTAACATTAAGTTTATTTTAAACCCGACGGCATGAGACCGCCTCCACACCAAAATTAACCAAAAGTTTGCAACAATATGTACAAATATGCTAAACACAGAAAAACCTTGACAATGATATGTATATACGACACGTCAAACTTGTGTACTACGTATTCGGAAACGAAACAACATTAACTAAGTAAAAAGCTGAAGACCCTGTCAATCACGGATTGATCTCGTTTTCCACACATTGTGAGATTCATCAGCCTTGACGCTTTCATCGTTTTGAGCAAGAAGAGGCATGCGGACTCGGCCACATTTACATTAATTGCAAGATTAATGGCGATCACAATTTCTGAGGAAACAAAACTGCAATAAGCCAAAAAATCGCTTTGTCTCTAAACATAGTCACTGCAGATCGTCTTCCGATTTTGGAATGTCGAATATCTCGGCGAAAAGGGGCGGGAGGGTCAACTTCGTCCAATTCATGCGAAACCAGTCCAAATGGGCCGAATGTTTAGCCCCCAAGTTGCGCAATTCGGGCAGTTTTATCAACAGACTTGAGAACAGTTGCGGCTCGCTGGCGTGGTTGCGACCCACCTGAAAAAACATCTTCATGAAAAAGTGTTTTTTTTTCAATTTTTTTATTCCTGTTGTCAATGATTCAACTTCAACTACGAGTTGTTGGGGTTTTTAAAGGCAAAACCAATGGGGGTTGGGGCTATCTCCCACAAGAACGAAGATATTACGGGTTGAAATTTTAACGTTACTCTTTGAGACAGATTTAATTCTAGACAATAAATAAATACAAATCTTTGTTTTTGAAATTAAAATAAAGACTAAAAGGTAAAAAATAAAGATGTATAAAAAATAATTTAATACAGGGTATCTCAAGTTTTAGGACCTTCGCAAAAAACAAATATTTTTAATTGATTAAAAAAGAATTTTGATAGTGTTATCGATAGAGGATTATACAGGGATGTCCGGAAATTGCGTCCACAAACTTCTAGGGGTAATTCCATATCTCAAAACATGAAGAAAAGTTCGTATCAACATGGGTTCAAAAAAGCTTCCTTAGAAAGTTACGACGCTGTAAAGGTGGGCCTTCAAATATGCTTTTTTAAATTATTTCTGTTAATATTTTAATTAGATTAAAGTATCAAATTGAAGTCCGTACAGGGTGCGCCAGAAGTCGCGTCCCAGAGAAAATATAAGGTAAGATACCAGGAACATGGAAAAAATGTTAAAAAAATTTATCTATAAAAATTTCGAAGTTATGAGAGTTTAAATTTTGCACTTTGACTGTATTTATGTCCGTTGGAAAAATAATTTTCCAAGTTTTTTTGCTACAGGCTATTAGAAGAGGAAACAAGGAAGCTATATCCTAAATTGTAACTCTATTCAATGGTCTTTTATTGACAAAACTTTTGTACCTTTACTAAGTAATTGGAAAAAACATATACAGGATCATCAGTATCATTAAATTGACATAAAAAATGTCAAATGTCAAAAAATAAATGTCAAAATTTTTTGACAGAATTTTTTAAACATTTTTTCCATGTTCCTGGTATCTTATCTTACTTGAAATTTTTCTCTGGGGCGCGAGTTCCGGCGCATCCTGTATAATCCTCTATCGTTGTCACTAGCAGAATTTTTTTAATCAATTAGAAATATTCATTAGTCCCAACTAAAAAAATAAAAAAAAAATTTAGCTTCATTAATCGTTGACCGATTTTCTTGAAATTTTTAATGTTTCTGTAATTCTTTCTAAGTGAGCCACCGTTGGCAAAAAACAATAAAATGTCTTTTGTTTGAGAATTTGAATTTTTTTGGACCATTTTGAATTAGAAAATTGTTCATTACGGTCCTGATTTGGTTCAAATTATTCCAAATTTTGCATTGATGCACATAAAGAACCAATCTGTTGAATTATGTACTTTTGAATTTTTTTTCGAAGATTTGGCAGGCGGTTTTAGCCCTCATTTGTAAATTTTGGGGCTGGTTTAGCACACTATAACTACAAAATTGCTCTAATTTCATTATTTATTAACCGATTTTGTCCAAATTTTTAATGTTGGCAAAAATTCATTCTAAGTGAGCCAACGCTGCCAAAGAAACAAAAAAATAGTGTTTTGTTTGAAAATTTGAATGCTTTTTTGAACCATTATATTATATGGAAAGAATCAATCTGTGGAATTATGTATTTTTCAAATATATATATTTTTAATTTGGTAAATAAAAGCTAAAACTGCTACACGTCGTTGCAAAAAAATCGGAAAATGTCAAAGCATAAAAGTGTCATATTTTTACATTTATCCTTAATTTGAACATGGCTTAATTCTAAAAGGTTGAGTTAGAATTGACAGTTGATCTGTAGTACTCATTATTCATTGGGTTTTCACGTAAGTACTCAACTAATTGATTACCTTGATTTGCATTTGATGCTCTCGGCATTTAAGTGAGGCATTGCAGAAAAAATTCTTTGAATGCGACAGATGACAAATTAACATGGGCAAAACCTGTTTCAATCTAAAGAAAATTCTATTTTCCGTTTTTATTGCAACCAACGGTACAAACGACTCGAACTGGTGTTTTTGAATCAAAAATTGAGCAAAATACGAGTTTTAGTACACAAAATGTCAAATTTTGAAAGTTTGGATATTTGACAGTAAAGAAAATTAATTGACGTTTATTCTTCAAATAATTATTTTTTATATTGACAATAAAATCGAAGAAGCCGATTTTTAAAACAAAAATTTTAAGTATTTTTATTTTTCTTGTCAAAAAATCTAAGACGTGTTCTGATTGGTTGATTTTAAAAGACGTAATTGAACAATAACAATCAACTTTTTGTCGGATTTTGGCAAATACGAAATAGAAGCCGGTTTGTTCTCACGATAATGATAAAGGGAAACGATTATTATTGGCCCTTGTAACCGGACCAATGAATTAACAAATGTGGCCAACCAATCAAATTCAAGATTTTGCAAAAACCTCACCGATTATTTATAAAAAAAAAAACTGTTTTAATTCATTTCGAATTTGCTTTGAAAAAGAAGCAAAAATAATGTATTTAGATTAATTTTTCCAATTAGCCACGAAAAATGAATGTTAGATAAGGGACTATTTGGCCAATTTTTTTCTCAGTGGATTCAAAAAAAAATGCAGATTTAAGCTTTCATGACTTTTAAAAATGATAAATTTAAATTTGTTTCCTCAATTGGCTTTGAAAACTTCGTATCTTTTACTCGTTTAGTATAACAAAATCGCAAATTTTTTGCATTGAAAAGTGTGTTCTCAGTTGGCAATAAAAAATACTATTACCAACAAATTGACAATATTTGGACAATTTGTACAAATGAACGCAGAAATGGTGAGTTTAAATTTAATTCTTCATTTGGCAATAAAAATAATAAATCGTCTTAGTGATAAAAAAATAAGGACTATATTTGTAAATTTACGTCACCGTTTTGCTTTTTTCAAATCACCAGTAACGTATGTTTCCGTTTTTCTATCGTTTTTGTTTGACTTTCTTGAGAAATTATGATTACGATTGAATTTTTGTTTTTTACTTTCACTCAATCTTCACTTTTTGTCGTTTTCTAGTTTTAGTGCTTCCAAATTTTCCAATAATCTCCAGGTTTTAGTAAGGTAGGTATAATATTTTGCCCGCCCTAAAAGTTGGGACACCTTGTATAAAAAAAAATGATTTAAAAAGAACCTTATTTTTAAATAATATTTTTACTTAAGTTGCTAACATACCTGAACCTTCAACGCCTCGATGAGCTTATCCTGGTGGTGTTCGATGGACTTGACATCCGTGATCCCGTTCCTGTCGGCTGTCAAGAGCACAACAGCCGAGAACAGCCCCACTTCAGTGTCATTCAAGGCCAAGGCATTGAACGTGTTCGCGAAATGCATCACCGATGAAATAAAATCAGCCTGAAACCGTCCTCATCTCAACACCACCCACCATCTCCCCCAGCCCCACCAACTCACATCATACATAATCTCCAGCTGTTGGCGCGTCACCGTCGTCCCATCATCGAACATCATCACCGTATTGGTCGTGAGTCGTGCCACGTGACTCAGCCAGATCTCGAAGAAGCCTATTTTAATGAGTATCAGTTGGTCGTCCTGGCCCAAATCGCAGAAGCCTGGCACCCGTTTCGCGAATTCGACTACCCTTTGGACGCTCGGGGTGATGTTGGCGGCGAATTGCTGCCACAACCAGCAGCGTTCTTGTTCGAGGGATTCGGCCGTCGAGGAGGCCACTTCGCTGTCGGCGGGACTGGACGGCGGCACCACCACCGGTTTGCGCACCAGGTTGCGGGTGTGCTCCTCGGTGTAGCCGCAGTTGGCATGGTGGGCCTGAGATACGGTGAGGATGACGTCGTAAACAGCCAATTGCTTCGTTTCCGAATCGGACTGGTCGGCGTCGGTGGTGGTCACGCGGGAGGACTCCTCGGTGCTGCGCTCCCGGGAACGCTTCGGCACCCGACCGTAGCGGACAGCTGAAAAAGAAAAGAAAATAAATAAACCCGAAAAACTACTCGGCTTCGCCTCGTCCGGAAACATTTTTATTTTAACAAAAATAATTTTTTTTACGAATATACAGGTTGAAAATAAAAAATACAGAGTGTTTACGGACTTGGGATTGAAATTTAAATGAGATGATATTCACGGTAGATGCAAACATAAATTCAAGTTGTGAAAGGAAATAATTCATTTTATATTATTTGTTTGAGAACTGCTGCTTCGGCTACAACAATGGCTATTAGCATCATTAACTTGTATTTCACCGTAAATCATAATAACAATAATCAATTTATTATTTTAATATTTTTTCCATCCATTTTCATAAATTTGGAAAAAAATTAAGAAAAACGAATCAAACCTATTCGAAACCATTTCGCTGGAAGAGATTAAACCGAAGATCTTCGAATTTTGATAAAAACTAATGATGATAGTGTCAAAACTATGAAGTGACTTTTCTTGTTCATTGTCAAAGATACGATTTTTTTATTTGTTGCAACAAAACAATTTTATCTGAACAAGGAAATAATTCCAGTGACCCTCAAACCGTGTATAGTGGGGGACACGGAAAACTGGGCAGATGTATCATTCAGATGTCAAAATTTGTAAACTATGCCTTAGGTACTCATAACCAACCTTTTAATGTTTGGCATATTTTTATCAAAAACTGATACAGCTGGCATTTAAAATTAATGTATGTCAAAGTTGATTTGACAGTTTTTTTAATATCAATCAAAATGACGGTAAAGGTGCATTTACATTGACATTTTTTGAAATGACAAGAAAAGACTGCCCAGGATTCCGTGTCACCAACTGTACCAATATTTTGGAGTTAAATGACATTCTTAATAATAACAATTCCATGAGTTTTTTTTCCTCGGTTATAGTATTTCTGAACTCTTCTATTAATAGGTCAATTTTCAACTACAAGACTGTAAACACCCCATATAATACCTAAAATAACTAAACTGCTCAAAAAAATTTCCATAATTTGCAGTTAAAATGTGTGTTAAAGAATAGCAGTACATACTGTTAATAGACACGATTTCGAAAGTTCATTGTGCGTTCTGTTTAACATTATTTTTTATCTCTTTTTTCTTTAAAGATAAGAAGTAGGGTTGTACAGTAAGTACTTCGAAAGCCATATCTCAAGATTTTATTAATAATACTCCAAATAGAGTAAGAAACCTAATAAGAGGTAGGGGGAGGTCCCATATGACATTAGGTTTTTTATTGAGACGGTGAAAATTTTAGAATTTACCTTTTCAGAAGTTACCTCTTTTATTCATTTTTCATTTTAATTGTAGTTTCATTTTCAATTTTGACCGTGAATGAGTAGATAATTGTTTATTGCAACTGTTTTTTATTTAATATACCTACATTGAGTTAAAAAAAGTATTATATACGGGTATTTTCTAATACCCACTTCAACTGTTGAGCAGTTAATTATTATTATTATTTATTCCGAAAAAAAAAACATTTTAGGGACTTAAGTGTCCGTAAAATAGCTTCTTTTGGGACTGTATACAAAAATAACTATTTGAAAATTGTTTTAGATTTACCGTTTTTCTTTTATAATTTTTTTATATAAAAATTGAAATTCTAAGACATTTACGTTTTAATGTGAATATGTAATTAATACAGAAATACTAACTATAACAATATGTTAATGCTATTACATACACAAAACTTTTTTGCTCTTATACTCTTTCTCTTTCTTATGCGTTAATGCGCTCTCACTCTCTCTATTTGTTTGCGCTATTTTGCGTTTGTGTGCTCTCTCACATATTTTGCTGCTTTAACTATTTGTGTATCTTCTGCTAGCTAGGCTTTCTTTTACTCTTACGCTCTTTCTCTTTCTTATTCTCTGTTCTCTTATTTACTGCGTTTATGCGCTCTCTCTTTCTTGTTATACTTTTTAGAACATGTGCACATGTTTTAATTTCGCGCCTTATATTCCCGCCATCTTTTGACATTAATTTGAATTGTATTTGAATTTCAATTAGAGAAAAATTGCTGCCTTGACTGGGGTTCGTACCCCGGACCTACCTGCCGCTATACCACCACGCCGCCGACAGTTTTTCAATTCTAATCCAATATATTCATACACACATTTATTTCTAGCGTATTTACAACGTTTTAACACTTTTCTAGGTCTTTGGAGCAACTTTAAAGTTTTGAATTTTTTCGATTCTTGGCAAAATTTTGATCGACTTTCGGCACTTTTTTATTTTTGTTTTTTAGATATGTTCTTAGCCTTTGTCAATTTTTTGTTTTAAATTAATAAATTGTGCCGAACTTAAAAAACTCATTTTAGTTTTGTAAGAAGTAAAAGGTTCAGCAAAAAACGCTTACTTGCTCACCCTGCATATCGAATTCGTCGAATTCCTCATATCCTCAATTTTTCTTGAAAGAAATGTTTTTAATCCAATTACTAAAATATCCAAAATTTTATAGGTCTTAATTATTCAACATTTAGTTTCTTAGCAAGTAAATAAATGCTAGATATTAGCACAGTTTTTCCATTTTACCCTTTTTAGAAGTACCAACAGACCATTTCGTTACGAATATGTTTTGTTATTGCCACTTTAAATGGCTGCTGAGGACTTGTGGGCTGTATTATCTGCTACTACTACGTACTAAGTCGAATAATAAATAAGACTTGTCACAAAGACCAGGTAATCATAAAAAAGCTGGTTTAACAAACAAGACATCTTACAACGTCTATTGGCTATTGTGGGACTTGATTATTCAGGATGTCTCATAATAGAAAATCTAAGTTCGAGTTTTATTTTTTGTGTCTGGGTTATGGTGATGTCTTGTTTGTATTTTACCATACGATAGCTTGGGATGTTTACCAGTCAAACCAATTCTATAAGAATAAAATAGAACATAAAAAAATAGAAAATACAAGGTGTTGATCACTTTTACTTGACATCCTGTATAACAAAAGAAAATAAAGGTTAGGTACATCAAGTTTTATTTTCCTATTTTCAATAAAAAATGAGACCAAAAAGACAAGACCAAAAAAAAGGTTGAATTCGGACTATTTTATTTCATTATTTTTTGTTTCAACTTAAACTGAAAAAATACATTACAAAAAATATTATTCTTGGACAAATTGAATTCGAAATAAATGTCTAGCTTTGATGTTGTTCCAATATCCCGTTACATTTTTCCGTTAATACTATTAAATTTCTTTGATCTTAGGGTGAGGTATTTCCAAGACGCAAAATACGTATTCAGCTAGAAAATTTCATCGACTGTATGGGAAAAACGAAGTTGCGGAAGCGTTTGATTGAAAACTTATTTACAATTTTCTCTCAATCGAATGTTAAAAGTTTGTCATTTTTATTTGAAATAGAATTCTCATTGCGATTCATGTCAAAATTGAAATATTTTCCATAATTTGGCGTGATATCTGATTTAGAATCACCGATATTTGAACACTTTGCATAATTGAATATCCCGGCGCCTCCACCAAAATCACAATTCGATAAAATATCACACTGCGAATTTAGATGGTAAAACCAGTTTGCGCATTATGTTTAGGATTATTTAACTCATTTTTTCATTAAAAATTTTTCATGAATTACACAAACGTACAATATCTCAAAGACGTGTCGTAATTCATGTCCCGTCACAGAATACAAATTAAATTGATTACGCATGACAAAAAAATCTGACAATGTCAACCATCAAATGTTCTCGTTCCAAACAACACAGAGTAATTTCGTTGAATTATTCATCATGTTGCTACTTTTCGATTGTAGTTATTGTGGACTGTCATGTCGCTTTTATTATGATGTATGAGGCTTCCTTAGTGAAATGCTCCCTGATTATTATCGTGCGTTGAAAAATGATACTTCACTCTCGCGAGAACTTCACAACATTTCAAGGTCGAACGACATTTTGTTGAACAAAATGAAATTTCAGTATTTACCCTGGCCGCCAAAATTAACAGGTCAACTAAAATTTTGCGATTTTTCGCACTGCAATACTTTTGTTATTCTTTGTCGGATTTCGATGAATTTTTGTTTGGCATAATTATTAAATATTAATTTTTGAGACATGAGAGATATAAACCTTCGAAAAAAGCATTAAATTTTTTAGTTCAATGAATGTTCGTGTTAAGTAGGCCGAATGTGTCAAAACGTCAAAATAGGCACATGGAAGCTTCCAATAAATAATCATTTTACTTGTAGTAATCCCTTGAAGTTCCAAGTTTTTTAGATTTTTCGTGTTCAAAGATCTAATTTTGCACTTCTGGTGATATAAGCAATAATTTTCGGTTTAACTACCTTTTTATGTAGCCTACTTTCTGAACTAATATTTAGTAACGTCTTTTTCAATGCTTTGTACTCGTATCTCTGGGGCACCAGAAGATGATATTTTGAAACAAATTGGTCCTCATTCATAAAAGAACGGACAATAATCTGAAATAAGTAAAAATTTAATTTTGTCTTTGATGCACACTACAGCTCAGTATAAAAAAAAGGAAAAAAACAATACTCTCGTCTTTTAGGTAGGGATAACATTTATAGGACGAAACTAGAAATGTTATTGAATTAACTTACAATGTTCTGCAAATTTTGTTCTTTAAGCCGAACAAAAATTTGTCGAAATCCGACAAAAAATAATAATTTGAAAATCGCAAAATTTTAATTGTGCGGTTAATTTTGGCGGCCAGTGTATACAGGGTGTCCCAGCGAGTTTAAAAAAGTCCATTAAAGACCTTTAAATGGTAAAATTTAAAATAAAATGTATAGGACATTGCTAGATACTAATCTCGTGCATCACCTAAAATTATTTCAACCATACAGCATGTCCCAAAAATAAGTTACGATACAAACATGTGTTTTTTTTAAATGAAACACCGTATGGCATTTTTGGATGTAGCCTTTTAAAACAATGTTTTTACGCTAAACTTTTATTAGTTGATTTTGCTTAGTTTTAGAAATAAGACGTTTTTTTGACGAAAACATACACTTTTTAAAAATTCATTACACAAAAACTAAGACAGCAGAACAAATTTTTTCTTACTTTTGCATACAAGAAAGTACAGAATTTAAAGCTGTAGCTATTTTTTAGTGTTTTGCATTTGTCAAAATCAAAAAAATGAGGAAGTTTGTTAAAAGTTAAACAACTTAAAACATTTAAATGGAACACCCTATTTTTTTTTAAATTTTTGCATCTAATAGATTGATAAATTGTCTATCAAAAAAATAATCTTTTAATGTCTAGAATTGTTAAATAAAAAGATATTTAACATTCAATATTAATTGTGGCAACAATGTCTATCAATATCTGAGAATTGGCAAGCATAGTAATTCCACCACAGATCACTTATCCGTTGATTTATTCAGAGATTGTAAAAGTCGTTAAAAATACTGAAATTCGAATTATTTTATTGTAAAAATAAAGAATAATGAACTCAGTTTAACACAAATGTGATTATTAAGTGATATTTTTTCCAACTTTTGTGCAACTGTGCACTTTTTGGCTACTGAAACAATAGTAATTATTTTTTTTTAAGTTTAACGTTAATTTTTTTTAGTTATTGATTATAACACCTAAAAATTAATAATTTTAGAAAGCAATTTAATAATCTTTGAAATGCAAACACAATAAATAGGGTGTTCCATCTAAATTTTTTAAGTTATTGAACTTTTTACAAAGGCCTTCATTTTTTATCTTTGCAAATGAAACACACTAAAAAAACTTATAGCTTGTACCTTCTTCTTTGCGGTAACAAACAAATATTTCTAGATGTCTTAGTTTTTGTGTAATAAATTTTAAAAGTGCATGTTTTCGTCAAAAAAATCGTCTTATTTTTAACTAAACAAAATCGACCAATAAAAGTTTAGCTTAAAAATATTGCCATAAAAATCTACATCCAAAAATGCTACGAAACTCAAGTTTGTATTGTAACTTATTTTTGAGACACGCTGTATAGTTGAAAATAATTTTAGGCGATGAACTAGATTAGTATCTATCAGTGTCCTTTATAATTTTGTTTTAATTTTACCATTGAAAGGTCAGTAATGGACATTTTCAACTCGCTGGGACACCCTGTATTTCATAATGAAGAGAAAATGTGGATAAATGTCTGTTCGTGTCAAAATAATTAAACTAAATTTAAGCCTACCCCAAGTACTCGTACCTATTACAAAATTAATAAAGTTTAATTAGTTTAAAGTTTGTTGTTTTTCAATTTTCACAGGTGATGGGTGAAAAGCATTATAAAAAATTGTTTCCCTCGAAAATTGAGTATCAAAAGAAACAAACATTTTACTTCATTATTTCTTTATAAAATATTTAATCGTTAAAAACCGCTTTCATAAATTTGCTACTAGAATTGTTTGTAAAAAGTAGTGTAATGTAACAATTATATCATGAGCATGTAGTACCGAAGAAATTTGTTGTAATAACATGCAATTTCCTTTACATTTAACATTTTTCATTCAAAATGCATGTATTCACGGTATATTTATTATTCATTCGGTTTTCTCGCTGCTCGTAATTAATTAATTTGATTATTTTAATATTTAATTAGAGGATGTCTCAAAAAATGACTGTATGACAAAAAAGAACTTTTTTGTGTTTTCAGTGTTTTTTTGGTAGATGAATTTCAGTCTTGAGTTGATTTGTTGTCAGAAAGTGAAGATTTCGCGTCCGGTGGTCATAAGAACACCTGCCGTCAAGCACACGCAAATAAATCGTCTTCGTTATACTCACAATCCCTGGACATTCCAACGGAGAGGCATTTTTTGAACCTGCAGTATTGACATCGATTCCGATTGAGACGTATAACGAGACATTTGCCGTCACGCAAACACCGGTACTCGATCTGTTTCTGGATGCTCCTCCTGAAGAACCCCTGAAAGTTGCAACAATTAGAATCAAGGAAGATTTTTATCGGAAAATGGTAGGTGTGTTTGTGTCGGCATCTGTTCTTCGAACTCCTTCTTTGACTTGTATCAACACGATGAACGGCCGGTCTAGGAACGCGCGCAAAAACAAGTTTCGCGAAAGCGGAAGAGATCGAACCGTTAGTTTGGAGAAACGAAAGGGTATCGATTACATTACCACTTTTGCCGGATGGAATCTGTTTGGTTTTTGAAGACTATTTCGTTTTTGTTTCTTTTTTTTTTCTTTTTATTTATATATTTTTTTTGAATAAGCATTAAAACAATGTTGAAGTTGGTGCACAAAACATACTTTTCAATTCCTCTACCGGAGTTTAATGATCCTAAATTAATCTAACGGCTTTTTTTGAAAAGAAATACCTCATGTTTTTATGAAGACCCTTCCCAAATAATGACATATTTCATAATTGGAAAGAGATCATCATAATGAGTCTACTAGCATTTTTTAGTTCTTTTAACATACAACATTTGTCTGAGTTTTTTGTGATAACATTTATCAAAAGTTTTACAACGATCATTTTTTAAATAAATTTGTAGGCATAGAAATAAGTTGCTGTCAATTTTCTAACTTGTTAATTCCAGTTTAAGGAAAAACTTTAAATTGTTGGGTTGTGTTTGAGTAATTGGAAAACTTAATTTATGCATTTATAGTCGATCGATGCACAAAGGAACGGTAATTAGATTCTTCTTTGTGCAGCGACGTTCGAAAATAACAATAAAACTTTAGAACGGGAGCTGGTAAGCAATGCTATTCCTTGCATTTTAAAATGTAATGCTGAAAGAGGGATTTGAATGCGTTTATTTATTTTTTCCAACACTAATGTCATATACTTTTCTATGGTGCACTCGTACTAGAAAACAAGTTTCATAGGACCAGTCTTGAAGCACGAAAACAAGTTTAAAAAACGAGTGGCCTAGCCACTCTTATGAAACGAAATTTTTATACTATTTTTTGTATTTTGCTATCTTTGTTTAAACAAAAAAATTTACGTTCATCGATTCAAGGATTCTTGTGACGTCTGATTATGTCTTAATTTTAAAAGTCAAATTGGATCTAGTCGTCTTTTGACTATTAAGACATTACACATGATAACGTCGTCTTCTTTAATCTGTCTATTAGAGAATCCAAATTGAGGTAAATTACAAAAAATACTCTTATCTTGAATTTTTGTCAAATTTGACAAATTTCTTTACAACAATTTCTGAACTTAGTAAAATTTAAACTACGACCTCAATTTTTGAAAGAATAGTAATAAAGCGATCAGTAAATAATTCGATTTTGATCAGTATAAAATGATAAATGATCAGTATTTAATTAAAAATAATTAAGAATTTGGTTTTTGAACGTTTTGCGACATTCCGACTTTGCTCGGAAATATTTTGTTTGTAAATATGTGAATAATAAATTAATTAGTTTTACTAGACATTCATTTACTTCCTTTACTGTGCATTTATTATTTTTACTGGGCATTTATTATTTTTACTGTGCCTTTATTAATGTTACTGATCAAAAATACTTTTCGTTTAAATAATATAGTGTGTATTTAATTTGTTCCCTATGAAAAAGTAGAGTGACGACCAGAAATAGTCTAAAAAGCCTTGGTGCTCAAATAGCAAATATTGGCTTCATGTCTACAACGAATTGGATAACGATTTGAATAATTTACAACAATGGCTGTGTCGCTCCCTTTGCGAAACTATTTCTAGAACAATAATTACAAACGGTGTTAATTATTTCACGATTGTTGACAGTTTCCCCGAACCTTGTACGAATAATTTTCCCCTAAAACTATTCAAATCAAGAGCTTTATTCTAACATTTTCAGCGACTAAGGAAAATGACTGAAGCATTTCTTCTAAATTTTATACTAAATAGTAACTGTGTAAAAATTTTAATTCATATGTTTTTTTTTAGAAATATTGCTACAGGAACATATAGGGTGTCCCATCTCGGATTTTCATATCATATTTTCTTGTTATCATTAAAATTAGAAGTATCAAAGAAGTTGTCAATTCCCAACAAACTCATAAATCCGAAATTTCTTATTGGATTTGTTATTCTTGGTGTGTGACTGTTTATTTTTTGAAAACAAAATCTACTAAACAAAACTTAAATGCCTGCAGTGTTATACAACATGTTGCACCAGCAACTCAATTAGTCTGTCACAGCCTACTGAGGTAGAAGAAAAACATTAAACGGCACGCGTAATTGAAATTTACACTAGTTACAAGCGGTAGTATTAAATAATGAAATTTTTATAGTGTTGCAATTTCTAACGGGAACTTTATAGATCTATTACGACGTTTCCTTCTTTTGTATGTAGGAGTAGCTTAACTGGTTAATAAACTTGTAACTTGTAATTTCTCCACAAATTCTCAAAATTTTTAGCAGGAAACAAAAATTCTTCATATTGTGCAAGGTCTTAGGTCATAGACACCACACCGTAATTGTTGTGAGCACAAGTTAACACTCATAATTACCACATACACACATTATTTGTGCTAATCATCACACAAAAAAGCCAATTAGGAGTACGCTGATTAAATCGTTACTCTAAACTGGTGTAACACGGAATAGGTGTGGCCGCAATTAATAATCTGCAAATCCCAGTTTCAAAAATTGAAAAATTGAAATCCTCACTACTAACATTGAAAACCAATTAAATCGCCATTAGCTTCGGCTCATTACTTGCAAATTGTAAGCAAGGATTGACTGTTGTGTGGGAAGACGTGTTTCGGGTACGTATCGATAATGAAACAGTCGTTAACGTAACGTATAGGAGAAATGACTGCTACGAAGTGATTAATCCTTGGAAATGTATCTTAGTTTTTTGCACCATGCGGGTATGGTAATGTGTATGTTCAGAATTGTAAATTTTATCAGCACACCGTAGAGATTAAAATCTTCTACGGGTACTTAAGCGACGGATCATTTTTTATGAAGACATGCTGAAAAATGAGAATTTTGCTACTTTACGTTACAATTTTGAATTTGAAATCTCTCTTTAGAAATAATATTTTAGTAGAGTGGGGTAAAAGCGAGAAGAACACACCTGGGCGGGGCCTAATTGCACTCAAACATAAAAGGGGTCGCGGACCATTCTCAAATATCGATAATAAAGCGAATCTACGCCACTGCTGCGAAGAACTCCCCTCTTTTTTAAAATGGACTCGTCCGAGACGTGTTTTGGTCATTTACACATACAGGCCCAGGTGTGCACTTCTAGCTTTTACCCCACTCTATTTACCTGAAAAATTCTTTAAAATTTTTTCATCACCGTATCTTAGTTGTTTTTCAGTTTTTTTACACATAAGCTGTAAGGTAATCTACAGGATGTCTCTCTTAAAACTTCCCAGGTTAACAATACAGGGTGTCCCAGCAAGTTGAATAAGTCCATTAGTGATCTTTAAATGGTAAAATATAAAAAAAATGTGTAGGACATAGATACTTATCTAGTGCATCACCTAAAATTATTTTCAACCATACAGCATGTCTTAAAAATATGTTACGATACACACTCGTGTTTTTTTTAATGAAACACCGTATTGGTACTTTTGGATGTAGCCTTTTAAAACAATGTTTTTAAAACGTTTTTTTGACGAAAACATGCATTTTTTAAAAATTTATTACACAAAGACTAAGACAGCTAGGACAATTTTTTTGTGTTTTGCATTTGTAAAGATTAATAAATTAAGAAGTTTGTTAAAAGTTAAATAACTTCAAATTTTTATAAATGGAACACAATATTTTTTATTTTTGCATCTAATAGATTGATAAATTGTCTATCTAAAAAAATAAATTTTAATGTCTAGAATTGATAAATGAAAAGATATTTAACATTCAATATTAATTGTAGCAACAATGCTTATCAATATCTGAGCATTGTTGATACTATGGCAACCATAGTAATTCCACCACGGACCACTTATCCGTTGATTTAGCCAGAGATTTTAACAGTCATTAAAAATACTGAAATTCGAATTATTTTATTGTAAAAATAAAGAATAATGGATTCAGTTTAACACAAATGTGATTATTAAGTGATATTTCTTCCATATCTTGTGCAACTGTGCACTTTTTGGCTACTGAAACAATAGTTTTTTTTTTCATGTTTAACGTTAAATATCTTTTTAGTTATTGATTATAAACACATAAAAGTAAATAATTTTAGAAAGACAATATAATAGTTTTTTAAATGCAAAAACAATAAATAGGGTGTTCCATTCAATTTTTTTTAAGTGATTTAACTTTTAACAAACTTCTTAATTTATTAATCTTTACAAATGCCAAAAATTAAAAAAATGTTACAACCTTATAGCTTGCAACCTTCTTCTTTGTTGTAGTAAAAAAAAATCTAGATGTCTTAGTTTTTGTGTAATAAATTTTTAAAAAGTGCATGTTTTCGTAAAAAAATCGTCTTATTTTTAAAACTAAGCAAAATCGACCAATACAAATTTAGTTTAAAAACATTGCCATAAAAATCTACATCCAAAAACGCTAGGAAACATATGGTGTTTCATTTAAAAAAACCCAAGTTTGTATTGTAACTTATTTTTGAAACACGCTGTATAGTTGAAAAGAATTTTAGGCGATGGACTAGATTAGTATCTATCAATGTACAATTTTTTTTTATTTTACCATTTAAAGGTCACTAATGGACTTTTTCAACTCGCTGGAACACCCTGTATATCTTATTTATTTATAGAGCAAAAACATTAATCTTTTTATTTTAATTTAGTATTTAGCAGTTTTCTTTTGTTTTTTGACGTTATAAAAATAGTTATAAAGACAGTCGATTAAGAGCACATAAAAATGAATGAATTAATTGTACTTTCATAAATTTAACAAATACAGTGGAACCTCGGTCATCCGATATAATGTGAAATGTGGAAATAGAGAGAAACAATTCCACTTTGATCAAAATCTTAAATGACTTTAGCACTCGGTAACTTATTTTTTAAGTTTTTGACGTATTTGTGTTACAAAAAGTTTCCTTACGTTTGCGTTACGTTAACGTTAACGTGAATAAAAGTGTAAGTATACCTTACAGCCTTCGCACGATGTCACACCATAATGGTACCCGGAAGCCTTGTCACCGCACACTTTACAAGGAACGAATGATTTGGTGGTTGATGAACTGTTGGAGTCCGCCGCCACATAATGTTGTTCTGAAAATGAAAAAAAAATTTTGAATTCTAAGAAATCAGAAATTTAAATGCTAGAAAGCCGCTACGCTAAAACTAGTTACCAGACAACAGAAAAACTTCAACCATAAATAACCCAACGTTGCAAATAACTGATGCTAAAAATTGCAGTATAAAAATATATTCATCGATCGGGCTATAAATGTTTGTTTTAAAGGTGGTAGCATTGAAACACAATACATAAAACAATCGATAAACATAAATCATCCAATAATGTGGCGTAATAAGACATAAACATCAAAATAAACGCCCAATTGTCAATATTTATGAAGTTATTAAAAGATTAAATCGATCTTGCGTTTTTATTAAGGAGAGAAGTGTCTAAACGAAAATTTTCCTGACATGCAACCTTTTTAATTTATTATGATCGAAAACATGTAACCTTTACCATTATATTTAGACATTGATTTGGCTAGATATATGATATTTTAATCGTGTTTTCTCCGGTTCAGCTTGTCGAGAAAATAAAACAAGTTTTCTTTTATCGAAAATGTTATGAAAGGGTCTTCTGCAACAATAATTCATCAAAGTCGAAGCCGAAGTGAGATTCCTGTTGCGATCAATTCATTATTATTTTCCCATCTACAACATATTAAATAGTATGGAGTTGTTAAAAATTAAAAAAATCTTCACCACTGGTTGTAATATTGACAGCATTTTAAAGCCTAGAACACGCTGTATATTTTTCCAATTATTTTTTATACTTGTTTTGTAAAACAACAATTTTCTATAAAATATCATATACGTATCACAATATACCGAGTTAGGTAGTCCCCAGGCTAATAACTCAACAAAAAATAAAACTTCCATAAAATTAAATATTGGTGAGATTGTTTTCATGAAACAGTAGAAATAATAATTAAACTTTAATGTGTTATGAACCAGTGGGGCATTTAGATTTTTTTTCGACAAGTTGTTAATTTTTTTGGTTTTAATTAATTTTTCAAAAGACACTTTTCTTCGATTTTTTTAGGCTTTATTACAGTAAGCTAAGGAAATCTAAATCTTTCAAACTAATTGAGGAAAGAGAATTATATTATTTCCATGTTGTTACAATGGTAAATAACATTCAACAATTTCTAATCGTTAAATTGTCAATACCACCCTAGTAAATAACTACATTTTGTAATTATTAATTGCACTTTTAATTTTTTGTAACATAGACACTCGATTCTTTAAAGCTATATTTTTGAAACGAATCAAAGACACTACAAGAAATCACAAAAATGGTCAAAATTTTTAATGAGAATTTTAATGAACATCAAAAATCGGGTAATGGCGCCATGTTTGTTTTATTTAACTTTGTGGAGCTATATTTTATTTTAGATGTAAATTTAATACAATCTTCTATGTTAATTTATACATCATAAAAGATGTAAATTATTCAGTGCCTGAACTGATTTAGTCGGTTTTCAGCCGAAATTGTAGCCATCTTTTCAAAGTTTAGAACCAAGTCAAATATTTCCAATCTGAAATTCTTAAAACGTCGAATCGTCAAGGGACAAACAACGCCATGTTGCAGACATGGGAATACAAATGCGAATTCTGAATTGAATTCTTGAACATAGACTCGGAAATTTATAAAACTAAAAATAAATAAACTAGGAAATTAGCCGACTTGATGAGAATGTATTTATTTATTGAAAAATTAAATCGATTGTTGGAAGAACTCGGAATGGAATTAAATTTCGCTTAAGCTTCGACGTTTCTATTTATTTATTCACAGCGCCGGTTTATTTCTTAATGGAATATCAATATTTAAGCCTTGAAGAAGCAGCAGAGTGTCCTTGTAAAAATTTCATGCTCAGTAGTGTACGTTTCGAGTTTTTCGTTGATTAATTGAGTTCGTTAAAATGAAATTAACCTGAAAAGCATCCTTACGTGTTGACTTTCTGTTTCAAGGTGAAGCTTTCATGGAGAAAGTAGGCACTTTCGTGCATAAAAATGGCAAGAAGGTCAAGTTCAGCCGCTGTCGAGTGATTCAACGATTAAATAACACCGGAATGTGGACTAATTCTTTGCGAACCGCAGACAAGATCGATATGGAGGGAAGCTTTTAAAAGGATACCAAATACGATGGAGCAGAGGATTGTTGGAATTTTAAAAATATTTTTATCTATGGAAAATATTTTCGGCTGGAACCAATATACAAGCTGTTCCGGAATAATTTAGCATAAATTTAATCAAATCCCAGATGTCTAGCTTATATCTGGTAGGGGAAGATTTTTAAAATTTTGGAAACAGTATTTTTGTACTTGTGATATAAATGTTTTAAACAAGATATCTTTGTCATTTTATCTTTTAAAATAGAGTGAGTGTATAATAAGTAATATTTTTCTTAGAAAAACGACTCAACAAAATTTTTCATTTTTTTATATTATTAAAGCACTCGTTCATTTGTCGCTCGTGATTCAAAATTGCTATATTTTTCCGCTTTTGCATCGTAAGTAACTTAATATTTTTAAGTTTGTGTCATTTTATTGAAAACAATATCCTAAATGTGATTTTTTTCCTCCACAAAATGTTTGGTAATATAGATTACTCTTCATTGTCAAATTATTTACTCTACAGGCGATAAATACTACGATTTTTGTTTCGAAAGAACACTTAGTTTTGTCTTCGTATTTGTACCCGAGTTTGGTTTTGTTCGTTCCTCTATTTTCTTTTCTTAACTTGCAAAAGTTCACATTACATGATAAAAGTCACTAAAGTTACCACATTGGTAACACCTACCTAACGTGAACAGAATTTAAATTTAACAGCTTTTATCATGTGAAATTTTATATTTGTATTTCATTATCCCAATTGTGAAGCCTTTAAACGTGAGTTAAAACGAAAATAGGAAGAGAAAAATGCAGTTTTGATCACGAGTTCAAGAAATGCTTTGATGTTTAATATTTCAAGCATTAATTTAACAAGGCACTAAAGTTGAACTTTTTATCAAGAAGTACAGAGTGCTTATACCTAAATGATTTTCATCTAGCCAGCTTTGGAATTTTTTTGCATGTCACTTTATTTGTGCCGCTCTACTTTTTTTGAAAGCTCTAGTTCTGTTATTAGTTAATAATAAATTGTTGTTAATTAAACTTTTATTGTTTCAATTTCCAATAATAATTGATAATATCGTATACTTTGGAAGAAAACAAGTTTATAATTGAAGTCTATTTTCGAAGTGGACGCTTAGTAAACGGCGATTTTTTAATTTTGAGTTAAAACAAGTAGGTACCCCCAATTTTCGTAAAGCGACATATTTTTATTTTACATGGAAAATTCACAGCTGGAAACCACTGTAATAACCAATAACCAAGTTTCTTACGTTTTTTTTTGAAATCTCAGCTTTTTAAATCATGTAAAAATCTGAAATTTGGTTGCATAGAGTGCAAAATTTAGACAGTCTATTTTAGGTTACTTTACGGACGACATCAGAAAAAATTACTACGAGTATACTAGAAATCAAAGTTTAAATTCGGACTTTTAATAATTAAGGATATCAAATAAACACATTTGTTCGCAGAAATGTAAGTCCATCACCAAAGTGATATAACCTATCCGAGAATCTATCTATTTTAAGGTAAATTGACTATTTTTACAATTTTACTACCGCTCACCTCAAAAATTAAAAAAAAAATCGTTATTTTTCAAACTCGACCGAATAACGTTTTATGTACTTTTTTGAGCCTTTAGGACCTCTAGAAATTTAAAAAACTTTATATGGATCAGTTTTAAAGTTAATTTTTTTTTTGATTTTTGATGAGATTGGGATGCAACTCGTTTGGTGCAAATCTGCTCTTTTGAGAACACAGTTATATTATTCTGGACATGAAATACATTTTATTTGATAACAAATATTTTTATAAGAAGAAAAAGTAGATATGTTTAATCCCTTTTGATAATAGAATCAGTATTTGCAATATTGACTCGACTTGTATACCGGGAGGGGCATCGGTTACGCGCACTTGATAAATCTCGACTTCTAATTAATTAAAACTAGCGATATTTCATACAGGGTGCGCCAGAACTCGCGCCCCAGAGAAAAATGCCATATAAGGTAACATACCAGGAACATGGAAAAAATGTTAAAAAAATTTTATCTATAAAAATTTCGAAGTTACGAGGGTTTAAAGTTTGCACTTTGACTCTATTTATTTCTATTGGAAAAATAATTTTCCTAGTTTTTTTTGCTATAGGCTATTAAAAAAGGAAACAAGGAAGCTGTATCCTAAATTGTAACTCTGTTCAATGTTATTTGTGGCTTTTATTGGCAAAATTTTTGTCCCTTTACTAAATAATTGTAAAAAAACATATACAAGATCATCAATATCATTAAATAGATATAAAAAAATGTCAAATGTCAAAAAATTAATTTCAAAATTTTTTGACAGATAGAATTTTTTAAACATTTTTTTCATGTTCCTGGTGTCTTACCTTACTTGAAAAATTTCTCTGGGCGCGAGTTCTGGCGCACCCTGCCTGTATACAGTATGTCCCCGGATTGAGTTTAGAAGAGAAAAAATATTTTATGTTTGATTTTACGCCAAAACTGCAAAGGAAAAAAGTTTTTGCTTTACTTGAAACCAACAAATCTGTAATTAAAACTTCATTATTCTAACTTAGTAGAAAGGAAAGTTCATTTTTCTCGTGATTTTGGACTTAGAAATAATTTTTTTCCGCTTTTTAAGTCCTATCACATTGACGGTGTTATTATTTTGACAATGATGTCACATTGACAAATGAGTTTACGCAAGTTAAATAACAAAAAAGGTTTGTGAAAAACATAATTTTAATAAACAGCAACTCAAAGAAACAGCTTTAAGGTAAAAACCAAAGTCATTTTTATCAAGAACTATCGTTATTTAATTAATACATTAATTGTCAAAGTGACATATAGTTGTCAAATAATTAAAACCGCCACTGTGATAAGACTTAAAAATCAAGAGAAAAATTAACTTTTTGGCCTAATTTTT